TTCTCGGTTTCCGATTCTCGGTTTCCGATTCTCGGTTCTCGGTTTCCGATTCTCGGTTTCAGGTTCTCGGTTCTCGGTTTCCAATTCTCGGCTCTCGGTTTCCGATTCTCGGTTCTCGGTTTCCGATTCTCGGTTCTCGGTTTCCGGTTTCCGATTCTCGGTTTCCGATTCTCGGTTCTCGGTTTCCGGTTTCCGATTCTCGGTTTCCGATTCTCGGTTTTTTACGCCCTGGCCATGGCTTAACTTGATAGTAAAACAATAAGGATTAGGATGCACGAAAAAGAAAAACAACTAGATGAACAATAGCAATACCGGACTCAAATATGAGATGGACTGAGCGATTCAAACCCAAGCGATTCAAAAATTTTTTTTCAACTAAAACGCATCCCATCAACTGCCCCCAAAATGTCCCCGGATTCGGCGTCGCGCGGAGCAGTTTCAGGTAGTGGCGGAGATGTCGGCACCGGGTTATGGAAGTAAAATATGTGGGCCGACGTCAACTTGAGCTTTCTACATCGGCTGTTCTTGGAGGTCATTTTTTTCCTCCAAATACAGATACGCAGCTGCCTTCTGCGAAGTGAATCTTCGTCGTGTGTCTGGAAAGGTAAGGCGGCAGCAGAAATCGCTTCCGTATTTGGGGCGCTCCCGACTCTTCAACAAAAAGGGGGTCACCTGCGTGGTGTGGTTTTTGCTGCTTTTTGTAATCACCCAAACGACGCGCAAAAGACTACGAAAGAGGCCAACGTGGCCGGTCTCAACTTGAGGCAGCTACTTGCCATTTTATAAAGGCTGCAAAGCAGGGGACGAAGTCAGCGCGTGCGCATGAAGCCATGAAATGAGCGGAAAAACAAGACGCAACAATGCCGCCAAGTTGGGTACCGGGAAAAACGCGCGTCAGCCATGTGAAGGGCAACCCAGGGCCCATTCCAAAACCCAAGCGGGCCGACCGCCGGGCTTGGCGGCTTCTGGTGCGCCGTGGTGGGAATGCCTTTGGGCCTGCCCACGTAAAGGTTGTAAACCTGCGGCAGCCTCGACCAGGTCCACGGAGGCCGCGCGGGCTACTATGCCAACAAAAAAAGCAACAAACGCAGCGCACAGGTGCATTGTTTCCTCGGTGTAGCTGCAAAGACGGGCGGGCCAAGGCGCCGAGGGTTTGGGGCGCAGGCGCCCCACGGATGCTATGGCACTGGGGGGCCTGGCCCCTTGGCAAGTCCGCCAGCGGGCCAATGCCGTGGGCTACTTGGTGGACTGACGTCGCCGGGGCGCGGGTACCAGCTTCGCGACAGGGGCGGCTTTGGGGGGAGTCGCGAGGGCGGTTGGGTGTTGTTGTGGGCCCCGTCTGGCACGAGAAAGGGCGCCGGCGGAGCCAGTCGCGCAGCGAGAGGCTTCCTGGGGGCAGGCGTTCCCGGAGCTGATGGCGGGGCTTTGCAAGCCTTGTAGCGGCGCTCGGAAGGGGCGTGGCGGGCATGGTGCCGAAGGTGCGGAGGTCACTATTGTGAAAGCGGGCGCCATAGCGTCGCGATTCGTGATTTTCCATTGTTCTTGAGCATACCGCCGCGCTTGGCCGATTTCGGCTCCAAAAGGGGGTCAATCCGGGACCTCCTTTTTGGCCTCCCCCGAGAGCCGGAACCACGACGGTATGCTGGATCTCGATAGAGGTCCTTTTTGGAGGGTTTCGGCGATTCAAAAGGACCTCATTTGAATCGCGACATTGCAAAACCGTTGCATTTGTATTTCCCCGACTACAATCCATTCAAAAAAAGGCGCGATCTGTTCTTTTTTTCCAGGTTTGTGACGGATACGCGGCGGCACTCGGCTGATACACGGCGCCACAGCTCAAGAAATAAAGGCTGCGCCCCACCCTGTTGTCCGAAAAGATTTGGCGGCCAGAAGAAAAGGGCCACGAACCAAAGGGCCGCCAACCAGTGGCGAGAGTCTTCTATTGGTGGGGAGAAGTGCAAATGCTGCCCGACCGATCACAGGCACCCACAGAAGAGGCGCCGAGGCTGCCGTGGTGTGGGCCACGGCGGAGATATATCGCGCCGCAAGCCCGGCTCGGGCGGCATGTAGTTCAGCAGCGCACCCGTAAAGGTGCCAAAGCCCCGCAGTGCCGACACGGGGCCCCAGGATAGCCTGGCGGCGCAGGCGTCCTATGCTTTTTTTCGATGGCACTGCGCCAGGGTTGGCACTGCGGCCGCGGCGCGCCGTGTTTTTCCCTCTCCCGGTGACAAGGCTCATAGCCCACACTAGAATCGGCTACGCCACCTTCTTTCGCAAGGCGTTTTGCCGAACTTTTGTGTCCCACAAAACAGAAAAGCAGATGGCGAAAATGGCGCCGCATTATTTCGGGGCTGGGGCCCCCACTACACAACGGCGGGCATGTTTTTCGTCCCGCGGCTTTTGGCCCCTTCTTCCTTGTTGTATGTGCGCGAGAAAAACCGCGCAAGAGACAGCGCAACGTCGCTGATGGCAGAATAATGGGCCGTGCGTTGGCGCCAATCTGGCTAGTTCCAGTAGGACCCGGCTCTGCTTTTTTAGGCGCATAGCTCGTCGGCTCTCCGCCGCCACTCACGCGAAGCCGCTGCGTTTGGCACCGATCGCGGCCACGCCTTGGGGCCAAATAGTGGCAGGCTTGGGCTTCGAGGGTATCCGCTGTGTGGCCTCCTCTGCTGCCCCTTGCTGCGAATTCTTCACGCTTATGAATGCAGACACTCGCCTTTTTCCCGGTTTTGCTGCGTTCACGTACGCCTAAATAACGAAGTCAAGTTGAGATCGACCTAGCTTGTTCGTTTGATACTCTTCTGGGCGACGTTTCGGCGAACGCAAAAAACACCCAGAACACAGCCCATCCGTGCTGCTGTTCTTTTCAAGAATCAGGAAAAGCTTGGAACATGAAAAAAAATTTTTGAATCCGTTGATTTTGAATCGCTCAGTCCATCTCATATCAAAGATGCGCATTCTTGCAAAGCGAAAGGCTGCAACTTCATTAAGAAAAAAACACCAGAGCTGCAAGTTCGAAGATGCAGGCTTAATTGACCCCTCGGGTCAAGGAGCTGAAAAAGAATCGCCCGAGACTCTGGAAGCAAGGGCAAAGCTCGTAGCCGGTTCGGAGAGTCACGAGTTCGGAGGTGAAAATGCGGAGCAGGAGCTGATTCCGCCCCGAGACGCACCGGCATCCGCGTCACCCGATCTATGAAAAAACAAGGGAACAAGGAAGTCGTTCTCTTGGTGGTTTGTAGGTTATTCCTCAATGCTTTTGGTCAAAGACGGTCTAAAGGAACGATGTTAAAGAGGCTTTCAACCAACTTCGAAGATGACCGTCTGCCCTGCTGGCTGGCTCTTCGCGTCCTCGAGATCCCTCCTCGTCAAAGCCAAAAGTTATAAGGTTGAAACTGGAAAAATAAGAGCAAAACCAAAAGAGCGGCAAAACAGAAGGGAAACGTGTTCGATTCATGGTCATTGCCGGATAATTAGCCGCACAGTGGTGCGAAAGCACAAGCTCAAGCACAACGTGTGCAGGTTCCAGAACTACTCAGAACATTAGAAGTGGTTTGCGTGTGCTGCTAACTATGAAACCCAAGAGAGCAGTATTTATGAATATATTGCAAAGTGGTCCATCTCGATCTTCACACGACTCTGCGGCTTCAGGATCCGATCTCTATCATGGCCGAAATTGAAGAAGGAGGTGTATGCATGATGAAAAAGAGTAAGCTGCAGCATTTTATTGATACTGCAGTTTCCGCAGGGAGGTGCGGCTTTGTTCCAATCTTTTCTGCAGAGAATGTTGGTCGCTGTGGAAGATCTTCACGACTACGACAGACAAGTAAATATACACTGGAGCTCCATGCACAAAAACAAAAAGCGAAGCACTTCAACTGCTCTACACAGTCGTGATGGTGATGATCCGCAACTCCACCTGTGCACGATGCTGATCTCTATTTCAATTTATACTCATGTTAGAGTCATTTGGGATCAAAGCGCGGGGACCCATTTTTACGAGAATAAAATCGAAATACAAAATCATGGAGCATGCGTTTTTGTGCCTGTGGATGCAAATTTTAGCACATATTTCATTGAGGTGGAGATGCAATTTCATGGGACAGCAGCAACTCTATCCTTTTCTATTTACCGACAACTGCTGACGGATAAAATTGGAATTCCAAATGTGATTAACAGGAACAGGTAGGAGCAGGAGCAAGGCACAAGAGCAACAGGAGCACGCTGTTGCTACTGATGCGCACGAATATGAGTATGGAGAAGATGTAGAAGATGAAGAGTTAGAAGATGGAGCATCAGTGATCGTAGTCCGAATTGACAAAGTAAGATATGATAACTTGAGAAAAAAAAACCATTGGCATTATAGCAACCGAAACTATAAGTATAACTACACTGAATCTCCTCCTAGTATCCTGGTACGCAACCAATGTCCGACTCCGACGAAGGCAACCCCTTTCTTGGCGGCGGACCAAACCCATTTGCAGGTGGCGTGGGGCTGGGAGGTGGCAAGTCTTCACATGCCTGGGAAGGCGAATCTTCGGAAGAGGATGAGCGTCCGGCGAAGCGGACTAAGCTATTTACCTCCGGCGGCAGTCACGGCATGAAATTCGTGAAGAAGGAGACCATTCAGCCGAAGGAAATTCCAAAAGCCACAATCCACATGAAAGACAGCGAAGGAAAAAATCAGGCGACGTCTCCCGATGAAGCAGATTCTTCAGAACACGAAAACGATGACGATGAGGAAAACCCGGGCACAATTGACCCCCGGTTCCAATTCCAATTTGACGCCTCCTCTGCGCAGCAGAGGAAAGAGCAGGGTCCGCAGATGCCTTCGAAGGTCCACCGTAGTGATCGGCAGCTCGCGGACGATTTCTCCAACCCGGTGCTTGCCTACATGAAGAAGATGGGCTGGAAAGGCGGGGGTCTCGGGGTCGACGAGCAAGGGCGCGCGAATCCCTTGAAAGGTGCGTACGGACGCAAGAAGAACCAGGCGATCCAGGAAGACGGAGAAACCAAGCAGGAGGAGGACGATATGGCTCTCTCAAGCAGTGCATTCGCATTTCGTGGTCGTGCATTTCTATTTGGCGATTTTTTTGTGTTTGTGACGCAAAGAAGCCTGTAAGTATAGAATAGTAAACTACGAATAGTGGCTTCCGTTTGTTCGATATTGTCCACGTGTCTGTGGTTGCCTGATCTTCCAGCTGGTTCTTCAAATGAGAAGGTTTGGACGCTCTCGAGAGCATGCTGGGAATCCGTGCCGGATTTGTAAGTAGAGCGCTGCAATCGCAATGGCAAAATAAAATAAGAAATAGTTTCCTAGTGGTCTTCGGGCCGTATCGTTCATCGGGCCGCCGGGCTGACAAGACATAAGTTAGTACCTCTAGTATCCTACTCCCGAAAGGAAAGCAAGGGCTCGGGATCTAGGACCCCCAGCGGTCCCCCGGGAGGTTGCCCAGTAGAGCTGCCCAGCGCTCGCCTGAATGAAGGTCCTCATTTGAAATTACAAGAAACACAAAACTGAATCGCATAGCAATTGCATTCTTTTGTACTGACAAACATGCAAGCTCAAGCAATTAGCAAGAAGCATTTGCACATGAAAGTGTAACGTTTGAGAAGGCCATAGGCGACCGTAAGAAGCCCGACCAGCGCAGCGCGAGGGACATACTTCTTGGCGGAGCGACAGGCTTATGCAGTGCAAAAGTCTCGCTCTCGTTAACGTATTCGATTGGTAGTACTGTCATAAAACTAAAAAAGTTCAAGCTGCATAAAAGCCTAATATCGATGAGGCGAGGCCTATCCAGGAAAATAAAAGCACCCATTTCCATCCAATTTGTGTTTGTCCTGCAAAACATGCATAAACTCCAGTGTAGTTTGCCATCCAAACGATGGCTGGGGCTGGCTGTTTTTTCCTGGATAAGAACTGTGTTCGTGCAGTGCCGTTCGAAACGGAATTTACTATACGACTGCGATACTTTTGTACGGCATCAGGGGAGAAGAGCACACGCGACGTGATCCCGGGACTTGGAACCCACATGAGTAAAAGCGATCGCCAGGGATTCATTGGGGGCCGGAGAAGACAGAAAGACAAGAACGAGCAGCACCTGAAGAGGCGCGACCGCGAGGTATTCTATGAAACGGAAGATGGGGATGGCTTCTTTGAAGAAAAAACTGTGCAGTCTAGCACAATGCGCATCGTGGATATGACGCAAGCACGCGGCGCGCGCATCATCGGGGGTGCCGGAGAAATTATAGCTGGCTCTCGTCTGACTGCAAGAGCCGTCACCGCAGCGGAGCTGCGCGGTTCACTCATGCAGAGGACGGAGCGCCCGCTCGATGATCTACTTACGGGGCTCTCGGACCTGGTGTTGCGTACCGACCAAGACGCGGATGTGCTGCGCCGCCAGGTCACGGACTACCGGAGCAGCCTCGAGGTCTTGCAGGACGGGCAGGGCGTGGGCGACAATCTTGACGGCGAGTTCGGAACAAGTAGTGGCTCTTCATCTAGTGGCGCTGATGGCGCCGACGTCAAGAAGACGAGGCACAGGTCCCGCAGACACCAACGCCGGACGAAGCGGCGCGCAGAGGATTGGGAGGACGTGCTCGAAGGCGTCCTGAATGACCTGGAAGTGCAATTCAAGCACCTGGACAGCGCTGCCGGGCTTGTGTCTTCATTTTCAGCACCAGGATACATCACTTCGGCGTCGTCCACTGATGCGGCGGCCACAGTTACAAGAGTCGAAGCAGAACTAATAAAGGTGATAGAGTACTTCGAAGAAGTGCTGCAGGCTCATGGGCCGGCCTTCTGGGCAGATTTCACCTTGGAACAGCTTTGCGCCGAGCATCTACTACCTATTTTTCGCCATCGCGTCAACCTTTGGAACCCGCTTGACGAGTCGGATGAGCTAGATCCAGTGTTCGAGCGCATCCGCGACTTACTCGTTTTGGGCTCTTCCGCAACACTGGAGCAGACCCAAAACAAACAGCAGCGTGAGCTGTTCCAGAAACTGGAGCGGTGCAAAGCTTACAAGCTGCTGACCCAAGCGACCGTATACCCGAAGATTCGCACAGCAATTAGCAGCCCGGATTGTCGCCCGGCTGATTCCCCGGCTGCCTGCGGCGATTGTCTGCTCCTGTTCACCACTGCCAGTAATTTCCTGCCCTCTTTTTGCATCACCAACTTGGCTCGCCTAAACCTCGTGCCTAAGCTTCGAGAGCAGGCGCAAAAGTGGGACTGCGTGGCGAGCGAGGGCTTCTTGTCCTGGATTCCGGCTTTCCGCGAGTACCTGCTCGAAAGCGACCTCCGCGAAATCGCGCGCATCTGCAAGCAGAACGTTGCGCGCTACTTTTCTGGCCGTTGGCAACCGCTAGAGTTCTGTGCTGCGGCCAGAAGAAGTAGACAGGCTGCAGCGCAGCAGCTTTTAGAGGAAGACGAGCAACAGGACCGTCACGATATTAACAAGGTCCCGGCCGTCGACGATAGCATACCGCCCGCCTCCGACTCGCAGCTGACCGGACCTGCGCTGGTGCGGAATTTGCGGCGCTTCCTCTCGGACGAGGATGTCTATGACCTCGAGCAACGCGTCATTCTGCGCCTGCGGGAGGCCGTTCAGCCGGACGACTCTGATGAAGTGCTATTTGTGCTCGCGCCTTGGTATGACGGCGTGGCCGCTCCGTTGGGCAGCAATGTTTCCCCCTCCACATTATCCTGAATAAGAACGTACTTACTCAACCGCCACAGCTGGTCAAGGTGAGAGTTTCTGTTTTTGCATTTTGTTGCTGTTGTGCATGACAAGTTTAGCTTTAGACTCAGTCACGGTGACGCTGTTGCTGCTGTGACCAAGAGCAGTGCAGCCGCAGGAGTAAGGCACTTTCTTATCCTGAACGGAGTATGACAAATATATAGGAAGTACAGTATGACAAATATTAATGTACAAGAACTTAGTTGAATTTATTTATTAGTACCATAATTACCACGCTCATCTAATTGCTGGCATCAAGATAAGCATACGCATCATGGCAAGGTTAGGTTGGGGAGGTTTTTCCACATGATATCCGAACAGGAGACGTCACAACTGCTCCAACGCTCTCCTTTTACTCGCGGAGGAGCTCTTCTTCCAGCCGCTGCGGCAAAACCTGAAACGGATTCTTGCGGCCATTTGCTCCTCTGACGCCGCCAGAATGTTTTTCGATGGGGCTGGGAAGGAGAAGCGCCTCTACAACGGACGGACGTTCTTGAGGGCTGCACCATTAGCATCTTCAGAAGATCCGCAGGTCAATCGCGTGAAAACGGACCTGACGAAGTTGCTCACTCGTTTCTACCGACGGGTGCGGGCTCGCTTCGCCGATGCAACGCTAGCGCAAAATGGCGACCTGGCGATGCAATTTTCGTACCTGCTTGAGGTGTTTGAGTGCTATGCGCTGGACCAGGGGAAGTTCTCGAGTGCGTCCTCTTACGTCTTGGACCTCGACGGACTAGAAACTGGCCCTGCCCTGCAGGTTGGTGACAAGGGACAGTTGTACGCGAACCGGGGGAACAGCGGGCTTTCCGAGCGCGAGAAGACCCTCAGGCGCTACGCAGATATGCTAAAGGAGGACAAGCAGCGCGCCGCCTTGCGGCAGAAGGACCGGCAGCACATGGAGGAGCCAGACATGGGCTTGCGTGAGTATGCCCCGCTCCCCAGATGAAGCGATCTCAGTTCGAGTGATGGGTTTACGGTTTTTTATGAACAATTTGGATTTCGGTTGCGCACGTTTTTGGTCACTTTTTAAACAAAGGACCGTCCAGTTTACGTGGATGCAACTGCAAGGCTTGAATTTGTTTTGCATAAAGTTCAAAATGTAAAAAGCAAAGTCTTTTTGTTGCAATTCCAATGCTGCACTGCGATGATTACGAAACCAGGTTGCTTTTGAATTTCTGTTTCAGTGCGGTCGTTCGGCGCGGTTGCATCCCCCGGGGGCGATGCCGGGTTACCAAGGTCCACTGGATTTCTTTCTTTTTACATGTTTTCCCACGCTTTGTATTTCTGCTTTGTGTGACGTAGAGAGATGACCCAATCCAGGATATTTTGGCTGCGTCCCCTGCTTCCAACTTGCCTCATCTCGGCCTTTTACGATCTACCACCCGGTGATGGAGAGATAGAGGGTATAGCGCTATTTTGTCACACCGTCTCACGGTCACTGCGTACAGTCTGCATGGGCATGATTTTACGCAGGATTATTGTGCGTGGTTTATATGGTTGAAAAGTCGCGACATTATATTGAGAATGAAAACGGGCCTGGCTCCCAAGATTGCCCTAGGTGGCAGATACACTCGGCCCCAGATCCCGCCTGCGCCCCTGCGGGCCGATCCCTCTCGTCATAATCTCAGAAGCTTGCGGCGTTTTTGCGTTTATTTTTCTGGCACCTAGAGACCCACGCCCCGGCTGTACCCCCCGGCCGTTGTCGCATTGGAACGCCCCCAAGGTTGCCCACGTGTGTTCGAACAAGAACGCAAGCAAATAGGTTGCAGCCATCTACCGCCTCCGTTTTTTGACATAGATAACACGGGCCGCGCGAGCTGGCACGCAAATAGGTGGGTAGGTGCTCTAAGCTGTAGCGCTGGGCGGACTTAAGCCCATGCCACCGCTTTGCAATGTTAGTTTCGAGCCTGTAGCCCCCCCACCTTCCGAAAGCACCCCACGGAAGCCCCCCCCCCTATATTTTATTGCGTTCTGGCCGATCGCCCCCGCAGGTGTTTTTCCGTGCCTGCGCCCGATCTCACCCGGTAGCCCCGAGCGCCTGCCCCGCCCTCGTTTCGCCGCCTGGCCGCGCATTATGATTGCCGGCCACTGCTGGAGGGCGATCGCGGTGGTCGAAGCTCGTGGCTTTTTTTCGGGTTTGTTCCGAATTGTTTTCCAGTGCCAGGCGCGACGGCCGTGCAGTTTTGTCATGCCGACACGGCACGGGATAGTGACGCCCCGGCTTTTGTGTGGCGTCTGTAATTACAGACGAAGGCACAGCAGCAGCGCCTTGCTTTGTTCCGCCCCACCCCGACGAGCCGACGCCCGTTCGGTGTTGGGTTATTAGGCGCCGCAAAAATCTTGCCAGGCCTGTCACTGGCAAGATTGTGGCACTGCGTAGCAGTAAAGGACTAGCAGCAGGAGCCCGGGGCTTGTTTTTCTTTTCGTTTTTTTCATGCGCGTAATTGATTCTGCCACTCGGGGAGCTGTGCGCTCGCTGTCGTATCTATTTGCATCGCCCCGCCCATTGATCCCCCGCCCTGCTTCTCGCAGTTTGCTGGGTGGGCTGCCCAAAAATGGCGGGCGAAGCCCTGCAGCCCGTAACCTTTGACAGCGGAGCAGCGCTGGCCCTCTTCGGTTCGGGGCCAGTGCTTGGCAACGATTTGCGGGACGCGCGTCGCGTCTGGTCTTTTTGCATGCGGAGACTTTTCGACGCCTTTTGGCTTTCGCCGATGCCCTGACACTGGGTGGAACACTGTCTGCGTGGTTGATGCCTGGATCCCAGCACCCCCCGCGCTCGCAGATCATATTGCCAACATTGCCCCCAGACAGACTTTGCGCGTTGGTATAATCTAGCGCGGTGCTTGGTTTCTCCAGCCTTTTCCTTTCCCCGATGGGGGGAAGGAAAGGCCGCTCCCCTCCTACCGATCCGGACGGATCAAAAATCGCGCAGGATCCGCCAGATAGAACACCAACGGCGACGCTGGTCCGTCCCATTTGCCTAGCTGACGCCCGGCCCCTGCAGCTTGTCAGCACATCAAACCGCCGGCGTTTCCATGAAAGTAAAGCCGGCGCGTGAGCGTGCGCGCGTGCGAAAGAGAGAGAGAAACTTCGGAGAGCGTGCGAAGGCCTTGGCGCTGTCGTCGCTGTGAACAGGCCAGCAACTTCCGAAGAATTGCGAGCCCTTTCGGAAGAGTAGAGAAGTTCCCGCCTGGCCAACTCGCCGGCGCGGTTGGGGAGAACCTTGCGCACGTCGCGCGTGTCGACTTTAGCGCACAGCTGCTGCTGGTTTTGCGCAGCTTTTTCGTCGAATAGCCGCACTGCTTTCGCTTGCGTTCAAGATGATCGCGAAGACCTCCGCGCGGAACTGAGCGGCTGCGCCCGGTTGCTCGGCCCTGGAGCGCGTGCAGTGTGGTCGTTTGGCCTTGCCCCCATGCCCTTGCTTGGTCGAGTGTATGACGGAGAACGAGGCTGAGACTCCGCGCCCCGTCGCTTGTCCCATCCCTCTGGATCCGTCGACGATGTTTTCGGTTGGAGCGGTGTGCGTTCATTGTCGTGCTGATGGTGTAGCTCCCAGCTGCTTCACTTCGTTCTGCGTAGGTTCTGGTCTTAAATTCCCACCCAGCGTCGTCCTCCCCAGGAATGACTCGGACACTGCACATTTTCACGGCGTGGCTGCATAGTAGATTTGTGATGCTGCACACCTAGCGGAGAGATACTTTCACTTGCAGACCGTCATCTGCAATTTTTTTGCACCAAAGAAAAACTGTTGCAGTTGAGATTGTTTCAGCTGAGGCTTCCATAGCGAGGTGTTGGAGCAGTGCGCCGCGGAACAGAATGTGGCCTTCGTCGAGAAAAAGGGATTTGTTTCAGCTTCTGGTATATGCCTTGCAGCTGTATGTGTATCGTATGCATTTTAGAATTGGTGCTCGAGAGAAATATACATATAGAGAAGTCGCGAGAGGTGGATGAAAATTTTTCATGCAGAGGCAGATTCAGGTATAGACTAAGATGAGATTATTTGTCATGCATGCAAGACTAAGACAAAATTTAGATACGAATGCGATACTTCTTTGGCAGTATACGGAAAGCAGTGGTTCACATTCGGGAAGAAGCACTTCATTTTATGCATAGCAAATATGTCTGAGTCTGAGTCAAGAACAAGGTAGAAGAGTGCAAGTTTGTACTGCTAAAATCCCTGTCATTGTCATGCAAAAATAAAATGCAAGCTGCCAGCGAAGGGAAGAGAGCGAAACACCATAGGACCTCGAAAACTTGTCTTTGTCATGCGTGGCTGGTGCATATCGCAGCGCGCTCACGACCATTCACAAACTAGCATCATAAGTTTCCCGACTCAGACATATTTGCACTCGATGCATGTACTGGGAAAACGACATCTGCTTCTACACCACGAGTCTGCAAGCCAAGGACAAAATTTTTCCGACCAGTCTCGAGAACCTGTTGCAGATTGTCAAAAAATGATGATCTTCATGATGCAGCATTTGCTGCATTATGGCGATGTGCGGCAACAGTAGTGGTACAACTAGTACTCAGAATCAGAAACCTACGCTCAAAGCGACCACTCTGACCACGGGTCCGCCGTACTCGACTGTTGATTTGCCCTTTTACAACAACGGCTGACAATTGCACTTCCCCATTTAAGAGTATGAGTAAGACTGAGCCATGGAGCACAGTATTGAAAACGAAAAGCCAGGTGAAGGTGAACAAGAAGTGTCACACCTTCGCCACCCCATGATAAGACATAGTTGGACCAGATCCAAGCACCAGGTAAAAGGCAATAAATTTGACAAGTAGATCATATTTATAGATCATTCAGAGGCCGTGCGATTAATGGGCCCCCTTTTCGATACCGAAAAGGGGGGGGTAGGTGCGGTCGGTCGTCTGGCGGGCCGTATCCAGACATGGCCGGGTGACCAGTTTTCCATCCTTTCCGGACTTCAAAAATCTAAATCCGCAACTTCCTGCCCCGGCAAAAAAGCTTTCGTTTTGTTTGCTGCGGTTTCTCAGCGTGTCTCTCTTCTGCTGCGGTTTCTGCGGTGTGGCTGGAACAGAATGAAACAGAACGACAGAAATTTCTTGGGCGCGCGCGGCGCGCGCGCGGATCGGCATACGGATGCGACAACAGAAAACGCTTAAAGCGCGTGACGCGCGCGCGCAAACTGAAAAGAAGCTCGCGGCGTGCGCTGGTGTGCGCGCACAGCGGAGAACATGCAGTGGAGAACGTGCCGCCCTAGTGACCGAAGTGGCCGTCTCAGCTTTTCCAAATGCAGGAAGTGCTGGGATGGTCGCTGCAACAACCCGAGGGTGGTTGTGCAATGCTGCGCTCTAAGTAGCTGCCTCCTGGTGGTCTATTGCGTCGCAGCGCCGTTTTTGTGCAATAGAGCTACTTCGCAGGAGAAGAAGCTTCGTCGTGATGCATTGCGAACCGCCTTCGTTTTTGAGCAGTAGAGCTGCTCCACAGTGAGTTCACCTCTACAAACTGCGCCCAAGCTACTGCGAAGCAGTTCTTTTTTTCCGCGGTAGGTCCACGGTCTACGTCTACAGCTACCAAATGGGATTGCTATCAAGTTGGAGATGATTTCCTCCAGGGTACTAGCTGCGCTGCTGCGAGGTTCTGCGAAAGAAAGCCGCCCCCTTTGTCTTGGGAGAACAAACGGGGCCGGCTTTATTTTGAGAAGCAGAAAGCGCGTCGCTTGCGCTTTCCTTCTCTTGCGCTTTTTTTGTTTTAAAGAAAAAGAAAAAAGAAGAACTCGCTCCATAACGTCGGCACTGTGTACTTTGCGCACGGTAGTGCGCCTCACAACCAAGCGAAGCTAGCTGTAGCTGGGCACCGCATGTGGCTGCGCTTTTGAAAAAACAAAGCGGCGAAAGGCGTCAAGCGCGCCGTGCCGCCCGGATTCAGATTCGCGATAGGTTTCGCGATAAACAGCCCCCGGATTTCGAAAGGGGGGGCGTGGGGGGGGGTAAGGTCGGTCAGATTCCCGCTTCTACCCTCCTTTTCGGTATCGAAAAGGGGGCCGATTAATCGCGCAGCCTGAGCCTCATTAGATATCATATTTATAGGCTATCGCTATAGACTATTACTATTATGTTTATGATCATCATGCTAGCAAGATGATGACGATGATGATGATTTCCTCCGCCCGGACAGGTTCAAAATGAAAATCGACAAAAGGAAAGACGTTTGTTGACTGTCTGATCGTTCCACGGTCCGCATGAGATCGGAGTAGTGTTCAAGGTGGCATTGAAACGCCGTTGCTTAATCGGAGCTAAAACTTGATAAAGATACTTATTTTTCGGAGGATGTCGATCTCTAACTCTATGTCATATTCATATGAACGAAGTTTCCCACTTGACACACCGCGCCGCACCACATCAGCAGCAGAGCCGGCGTTGGATCGCGATACTTATTGCCGCAACGGTATCACGGGCGAGGAAAGTCGCCAAACGGCCTGCCTTGCCCCCCCTCCCGAAATTTGTGCAGGGCCCCCGGAAGCCGCCGCCGCTTTGCGGGCCTCAGAATCGGCCTCGTTAGGCCGTTTGCGGGCCTCAGAAAAAGCGTCAGGATTGACCTCGGGCCCCGGCAGCTGGACTCGCGGCAAAAACATAGCTGGAAAAGACTTGGAAGAGACCGCAAACCCGGGGCGGCTGCTTTGCGACCTCTGCAAGCCAATCCCGGCGGCGTCATGGTTGACGGGGGTCGTTAAGTTGAGCCCTGCCAGTGTGTGCGTATGGTTGGGGGAAGTTTTTTGCGCCTTGTTCTGGCGAAGCACATTCATTGCCGGAGGTGGCGCATTGTTGCCGCCGCTCCCTTCGGCCCCCCCGCAACAAGTTGGAACGCCGTAGCAGCGGGGCAAAGAAAAAAGCGTCACGGTCTGGCCGCGACGGTATGGCGGCGGGCCGCCGCTTTTGCGGTTCTTTTCCTTTTTGGTACACAGTGGCACCCTGCCAAAAAGTGCTACGCCCTAGCCCCGACACCCTGGGCCGCGTCGCGGTTTTTTGATTGCGTATTTTTGCGCATCACGGAGGGCGCCCCGCCGAAAAGCACCACGCGCCCCGCCTGGTGGCGTGTTACTTCCGGCGTTATGGAATTTGGCCGCAAGTTCGCGCGTGCGGCGGCAGGGCGCAGGCACTGAGAGGCAGACCAATAAAAAAGGCCGCAACCCTTCTTCTGTCTAGCCCGAAAGAAGTAACGCAAAAGAGGCCGCATTTTGGGAAGCCTTAGCCTACGGTTGGAGCGTGTTGACGGGCGTCTATGAAGAACAGCAATGCCCAAACTCTCACCGTGTTCAGAGCGCACAGCAGCGAGCGCCGCAAATCTGTGAGGATCGGGATTTCGCGAAAAGATCTTGCCCGCAGCGCAAAACGTCAACCAACAACAAAACGAAGGAGACCAAGAATTCTTCAGGGCGACTCAAAAAAACAGACAGGAACTCCTCACCAATAGAAAGCCAGTTCTTAGTGGAGGTTCGTTGTGCTTGCAAATGATGCGAAGACAATCACGAGTGAAGAAGTTTGCTTTTGCGCCGTTGCAAAAAAATTTTGAGCCCCGAAAAGAGTTAGGGACTTCGAGACTAAGACGCGCGGCAGACTGCAAAAGCGCGACGCAGTTCGTACCTTCTGTTCCATCTCTGGAAAAATTAAAATGCGCGAAGCAAATTTCGACGCTTTGCGTTGCCTTCTAACTATGTGAAAATAAAAAACGTAAACCGCCCGACCGAGAGGAATCAGCGCTCAGCGTTCCGCTAAGCATTGAACTGCTACTCCGTGGAGGTCTCGCCAGGGGCCTCCTTTAGGCAATTTCGGGTTCTGATTTCAGAATAGATATTCGAGACCGTTAGGGGTCGGGGCTCTCCTTTTGAGCCTCACCTGCGAAGTGCCGTTCTGTTTGGCTCTAGGAGAAAATAGAGCGCCGGGAATGCAACCTGTGGAGGTCGGAGGCTTCCTTCAGGGTCTCCTTTAAGGTCTCCCTCGCAAGGTTTGCTCGTGATTAGACGCAGAAAAGAGCGCGCCAGAGATAGTGCGACCTCTCGCGGTCAGGGCTCTCATCGTTTGAGGTCACTTTGTAGCTCTCTAAAGCTATAGCGCCGTCGTGCAAAGCCAAATGTTTTTTTTGAAGCTCTATGGGTTTTCTTTTGTGCAGATTGTGGGTCTTCTTGAGCGTCGACGACGTCAGGTCTTTAGTTGAGTTGGTTACTGTCTATCGGTCTCATCTTCGGCATGCTTGTCGCACATGAAGTCGAAAAATTTGTGAGTAAGTGTGGTCGGCCACCCGGAGCATCCATTGTTCGAGTGGAAATCAGATAAATTTCCAAGATGGTTATGGTTTCTTATTCTCTCGTCGCACGATGTACGAGGTTATATTTTTATCGAGAAGCAGCAGCTGAAACATAAAACGAGGTCGCCGCTGATCCCAACCCTACTGATAATCAAAGACGAAGATGACGAGACGAGAATAAAAAATCAACAAGCTGCCTGCGACTCCGTAAGTGAGACAGCGAAGGCGAACCACTGGACAGAACAGAGGAGATAAATGAAATTCGCATTTTCTTGGCTGCCGCTCCACATACTTTGCCGCTGCAGGAAAAAGTGCAAAAGAAAAGGAACATATCTATGCAAATACAACTGTCCACTAGAAGAAATTTTCGGGGTGGTAGTGGATGCCGCATGTCGTGACAAGGTCGTGGTGCCGATGGCCCTTCACTCTAGCATCACTATGCGAGTATTTGCAAAGGACATGCTGCCTCTTGCGCCTGCTGTTCCAAACACATTGAGGAGCCGGAGGTGCCCATGTTGTCTGGTGCTTGCTTCTCTTCTTTTATGCCTCCACGATGGCCCGGTGTCAGTTACTGCGCTTTCCCAGCAACGGGTACTGGTAAAGAAATGGAAAATGGTAAAGAAGCGTGCTGCAGCTCGACGGGAACAGAAAGCAGTTGACGCTGGCTACGATGAGCAGCCGGCTTCGGCGCTAGTTGCTCCCAAGACAAGCCACAGCACGGCGCACTACGACCACGATCCACATCGCGACCAGCGCTTACACACCGGTCGGTGGAGCTCCTTTTTCGACATGGGGCAGAGCTCCGTTGAAACTTCGGGCAAGCCTCTGCACCTTCAGCAGCAGATAGAATCTCAAGGGGTGCGCGTTCCTTTTTTTGTGTACGATAATCACGAATTGACAATGAACAATTGGTATGAATTGCAAAACTCTCGTACTCGTAGAAAGGCATTACAAATTTCCTCATCGCGACAAATGGTAATGGACCCTCTTATGCTGATTCAGCTTGAAAAAGCATGGGAAATTTGTCGTGCATGATGACTGCGATTAGTACGAGCGCGATACTTTTGCACAGGATAATTGGACGCACGTCTGTGTAACCGAGCGTGATTGCGCGGACGTCTCGCTTTTGCAGGCATTGCGAAAACATCCGTGGCGGACTGCGTCACCGGAGGACGCCGAGATTTTTGTCGTGCCGACACAATTTTTGCAGTCGCGCCAGCTCGACGAAAAAAGAAAAACCGGGGGGGGCAAGAACCGCGGACACGATAGACGCACGCGCACAGCGCTCAACTGGCTCTTCACGCAAAGTCCCTGGTTTCGCAGAAGGCAGGGGCGCGACCACCTCTTGTTGGCGAACCCCTGGTACTTTTCTCGTTTGACGACCGACGAATATCGCGACGGAGAATACCCCTGGCCCCGCGCATACCCAAAAGAAAAATATGTGATGCGAATTTGTGGCCACCATTCAATTGGAATTGCAATTCGCAAAAAGGCTGGCGCCGAGGTGCACGCCGCGTTATGGAGTCGCTTTGTCATATTGTTGGGCCTACAGAGCGGGCGCCGCCTATGCTAAACCAAGAATAGGCCCGCGCGCTCCTAGAGAGCAGGCTGGGCCTCTGCCTGGCTTCCGTTCCGTAGTTTACAGCAAGACAGATCTCCGCTCTAATCTGGGTCTGGCTTTGGCTATGGGGCGCGGGGTTTCTTCATTTTGATGCCGTACGAGATAAGTGCATACCAAAAGATGCGTGGCCAGCTTTGAGCGAGACCATCCTGACGCGAGAAGAAGTAGTACACATGTCATCCTGGGAAAACTCTTTCAAAAGAGGCCCGAAAGCCTGGTGGCGACACCCGCAGAATTTGTTCTCCGTACCATGGGAGTCGACAAAACGTAGCGTCGTGACTCCAATTGAGATGTACCCCGATGTGCAAGTTGTGCCCGCGGAGTTCACGCCAGCTTGGAAAAATCGCCAGCACCTGATTTTCTACCACACGCGAAAACCGGCGTCCTATCATTTGGGAGACCTTCAGGCAATGGAATTTGTTGCTTCCGCACCCATTCAGATAGAAGTGCTGAGTAGAGAGAAGACATTCATATTTGTATTTCTTTTGCCCGTGTTTTTGGGGGGAATGAAGAAAGTATCTATAAAGTTAAGGATAGGAGTCGTTAACTATAAAGCCGGCACATTTGTTCCGGACGAATTTGATACATGTAGTCGCGGACTAATGCAGGCTGGAGCTGGTGCCTTTCGGATTAGCTCCGGAATGTGAAGGCTTTGAAAGCTTAGGGTAAGGCTTCAAAGCCTTAGATTAAGGCTCCTAAGATTTCAAAATCTTAACATTCCGGATTAAACCGTTTGCGGATTTATCCGAGGAAGACATCAGTTTTTATATGTAGTAAGGCCAAGAACTACGCTCTAAGCTAGCGGCTTCTTTGACAGGCATCACGCAAAACGACCGGCAGTGTTCATTCGGCCGGCAGGTTTTTTGCACAACCGTAAAAAGTCTCCATTTCTCAATCGGGTGGGGCTTTGAGTTTGATAGCAAACAAGCCCGGACGGATCCTATCGGTTCCCGATTGTGATATGATAAAACGACGCACACGCAGGGGACGAGCCGGCAAAAGGGGCGCCCTTCTGAGGCGCCCGCCGCATCTGCTTACGCCGATTCGGGGCGCCCAAAAAGGGACGCGCAGCAAATGCCTCGAATTTCAACGCCGCGCATCCCCATGGTACGCATTGGCCCTTCTTGTGCCCATTTTTGGAGGTCGCAAAGCCGGCCGCAAAAGCCGGCCACTTGTAACGCGGGGGGCAATCCAGCAGGTGCGACTTTTAAACAAAAAAAAGAAATAACTTCACAGGCCGCCAAAAGCAGGAAGCTAGCCAATCCGCATGCTATCGGCCCGCTTTTGGGGGCCAATAGGGTCGGCCCTGGTGGAGCCCCTGGCGGGGTCATAGCGTGCTCCTGGAAAAAGTTTCATCTCTGAAGTCTGCGCCTCGGGGCCGGCCGCGGCCTCGAGACGCTCTACCAGAGACTCGCTATCTTTCTGGGTGGTGTAGGTGCAACAGACAGGGGCCTTGCTTTTTTTCCGTTTACTTTAGCAGGCCAGCGGGGCAAGCCAGACTGATAGAAGGATCGGCCACGGCTTTAGGGTCGTGCGTGTACGATTGAGGAGCCCTAGGTCAAGAGGGGGCAGCAAAGTGCAAGCGGCTTCGTGTTCCCCACGGCGCTCGGTGGCGTCGGGCTGGTCGTTTCTTGACTACGCGCGAAGCAAGTGGCCGGGCATTCGCTTGGGGCCGGCGGGAGCTTCCTCTTCGACATCGTTAGGGTCTAGGTTTGGCCGGCCCTTGACCCTTACCCGGTCCGTGGCTTTCGGTGGTTTCCCTACAATCTCCTGAACACTAAGGGCGGACAGGCACAGGTGGCAACCCTGGTCGACCCCAAGCGCAAACGGCTACCCGTCCACTATTCAAACGGGCGGCGTCCGGGCGTTGACGTCTGTGGTACGCATACGGCTGGCGAACAGCCCAGCGCATGCAATTAACCTGGAGGAGGTTAGCGCATCACTGTGGCAGTTCGTGGCAAGCTCGCCGGATAGTTTTAGTTTAGCTGCTGGCTGGGCTTCTATGTCGAAGCAGCTTGCTTCGCATTGTCTTCCTTTGTTTCTTTCTGCTAGCCCTGACCTCGGACTGACTACCAACCCACAGGAAGTTCTCCTCGCCTCCTCCTTCAAGCCAACTTGTTTGCGATGGAAAATCCACAAAGCAAAGCGGCCACGCGTTAGAACTAGGGGAGCTTTTCGCCACGGCTGCGGTGCGTATTTTTTTGCTGGGAAGATTCCCCTCCTCCTGCTCGCGTTTTCTAGATAGGAGCCGAAGCATAACACGCGGAGGACTAATTTTGATGAGCCCGCTAGGCCGTGGCAGATTTCTCCTCCAGCCGGAAACTGTGCGCATTTTTACCCGGGACAACCCGGCGCAAATTGGAGGAGGAGGAGAAGCACGCGACCCCGTGCCCGAGGCCGAGCAGCGCATGTGTTGCGTTCTAGGGCCGAGGCCTACCGCCGCGTAATTAGCGTTCTAGCACCTACTCAAGATGAAGCGCGTGGCTGTTTCTATTGGGGTTCATCTGTATAGTGCTTTGCGTATGTGTGTAGCGCCGAAGGTCCAGCACGCACTCATGAAGCCCGACCGCGACCGGGTTACGATCTTACGTATGCAAACCACGAGGATGGAACGAAGTGACTTCTACATGGCGCCCGCGCGAATGCGGGCGCTATAAATACTCAGTCCAAGACGTAGCCCCTTTCTTCCTGCTTCGTGTTTACTGCGGTAACATTACAAACCTGTGGGAAGCATTCGGAGCGAGCTGATGTCTCAGACTCAGACTCGAGCTGGTATCTCAAAGTCAAGCGCGAGCTGGTGCCTCAAACTCAGACTCGAGCTCGATTCTCAAACTGAGGCTTGCTGCTGGGCTTCTAGCTGACGCCTGCGCTCTTTTATGCCATAGCAGTTTAGTAATATCTCCATCTCGATAGCTATACTGTTGGCCGCATTGAGTGGCCAAAGCTGCTACCGGAGTGCGTAGGTCTTTCAATCGCCACAAGCGCCTCAATCTCTCAGCAGACAGGGCGCAAGCCTCTGGCTGCGTTGCATCCTGTGGGCACGGCCCACAGGATGCAACTGCGTGCGCACTGCGTCTCATCATTCAAGGCCCAGCGTCGTGCGTCATCATCTCGCCACAGGCTCTGAGGCCCCAGATCTCTAGTCATTCTGGGACCTACTCCCCACTCTTTGCGCCCAGGTTTGATCTAGGTAGGAGACCCCTGATAAAGTTTCGACCAAGGACTTGGCCAGATTCTGGGACCTCAGGAGGCCGGCCAGATCGATACCGTAGAAGCCTGCGCAAGGTTTGATCTAGGGCGGCCGTCCTGGGTAGAGTTTTTAACAAGGGCGGACGTTCTAAGTAAAATCCTAACCAGGGAGCTACCAAGCCTGAGAACAGAGCGCGAATCCTCTGGAGAGCCTGACCCGCTCCCGGATCTCATCAAGTCACCACGTGAATTCGGAGAGCAGGCATTTCGGGATCTCATAGGAGCTGCAGTCCTGCGTAGAGGTAGGGTGTAGATCGCATGGCCAGCGTGTACAGTGATAGGATTGCCAGTGCGCAAGGTGAAGGTAGAAGCGTCGCGATATGTATCGGATTCGGATGCAAAATTTCAGATTGGCTTTCCAGCGCAGCTTCATAGTATCGGCTTCGGTGCAACTTCGCTTCGCCACTTACCGACCAAGGACCCAAAGTTGTGGCCCGGCTGTGATATCGGATTCGATACGACTCGAGAGAAGTGGGTCCGTGGCTGGAAGGACGCAAAGTTTTGCCTTGTTATCCGCGGAGACATTCCGATTACGGATAGGACGTGGGGGTTGGCTCGCCTCTCTGACACTTCTAAAATACCTTCGAGATGCTTTATTTGGTTTTTGAAAGTTCGCATATATATTGGACTCGTGCCCTAGAAAACGACAACGACTTTCGATTTGAAAATCCGCACTGTGAATCCATACAGAAGAATCATTTTTTTTAATGCCGCTTCCGCTTCGTTTCGGACCCTGAGAGGTTTGCTTTTGTTTCATGATTTGCGCGCCCGGGTTTCAGGGGTCATTTTCTGGCTGCCGTTTTCGCAGGCCGGAAAAGCATTTTGGCGCACCCTGGCCGAGCTTCGAAATAATAGCCCGCGGGAAAACAAAGCGAAAGGCCTCGGGCGGCGACAGTTCGCCGGCATGTGAGTCCTTTCGCACCTGACAGGTGCGGCATGTTCCAAAAGAGCCTGCCTGTGGACCTTCCTTGCAGTCGTTGGGCTGCCCAAACTGGGGAATATGTGCGCCGGTTGGTTCTTCACTGTCCGGCGGCCGTGGTCCCATCTACTCGGAGCGGGCCGGGCCATTTGGTTTTGGGCACTTATTGGCTTTTTCTTCTTTCGAAGCAAGCAGGAATTGACTCTGTCGCGCGAACCGTGCAAGCCCAAGCGTAGTAGCATGGACAAAGTCTTCGCGTTCGCATTCGCTGGGAGAGGGCGAGAACTTTTATCGCCGAGAGATGCTCTTCGTCATCGTTTAAGACTAAAAACAATCGCGAGAAGCAAGGCGGTATAGGTGTAGGAAGCTTAACGCCTTTGCTCGTACAAAACCGCAAGAATCTCTGCCCCTGCCGCTCTACTATGCTCTGGAGCCGGCTAAGGGGAATCATTTGGGGGGGAGAGCAGTGGAAGAGGGTCGATGGCTTTTTGTTCTTTTTTTTTTAGTCTAGGTCGGAGGAGCAGGGGTCTCAGGCTGGGGTCAAGGGCTTTAAGGAGGCAACTGGGAGATGCAGGATGTAGCCCCGTGCTTTCTTGCGTTTCCCGGTGGCGTTCGCGTACCGCTACCAGAGCTTCGGCGCAGGTGGCACAGGCAGGAAGTGCAAGAAGAGGCGTCTTGCTTACGACCTGGACTTTGTTTCTGTGGCGCCTGTGCTGACGCAAGGAAGGGCAAGCGGAGGCGGCTTGTCTTGGACGTTGTGGCTGTGTGGAGGTTGATCGGTGCAGTACGGATGAGGTTGCAGCATTGCGCCTTTGTGAAGCCAGGGCTGATTGAAGGCGCCGGCAGCTTTCCTCGTTCTCCCCGGTAACTCCCCGAGTTTGGCCGTTCACCACTAAAACGGGCGGCGTTTCGTCAAGCTCCGGCGGCGATTGGTTGAGACACTAGGCGCCAGCCACTTAGTACAAGCAGGGACGTAGATAGTACGCTAAAGATCAGGCACTCGCTCGCCAAAAGATATTGAGGAAAAGACACCCACCCCCATCCATTTTTTGCATGGCAAGCAGTGGACTTTGCGCATGTTTTGCATGACAAATTGGATGGGGATGGGTGTTCTTGCCTGGATAAAAGAAGCGGGCACGCAATTGCCTGGCGACTCTTTGTCAGGTGTCGAAGTCCTCTGCTGTAGGTAGTTCGCGTCTCCGATCCAGCAGGCTCCTAGGAAGGTGATCACGCAAATCAAAATCAAAACCACATGAAAACATTAGCGAAACAAAGAAGATCGCAAAAGAAAGGCAAGAAAGCGTGGCGAGGACAAATCCACAAGGATGAGCAAGCTCAAGGGCTTAGAGGGTACAGGCAAGGGCTTAAAGGCAAGGCCACGGGGCGGCGTTGGGCATAAGTTCGCGCTTTCTACTAGTGCTTCATCCCGGTGGCGTCTGTGTGGCATCGCTAAAGGAGGTAAAGCCTCGGCTGCGGCGGTGTTGACAGGAAGGGAGAGCAGAGGAGGCTTGCTCAGGGCCTGTTAGTTTTGAGGACATCTGTTGGACACATCAAGGAATGGCAAGCGCGGAAGGCTTTTTTTGGGCCTTGTGGCTGCGCGCAGGGTGGCAAGATAAACACGAATGGAGAGCAGGGGGCAGCGCAGTGCTATGCCTGCCGGAAGCCAAGGTCAAGGAGAAGAAGCGCCTGGGTTCTTTCTCTCCACGGCAACTCCCCAGGTCTGGTTGTTCAACATCAAAGCGGACGGGCGCTTTTTTGTGTAGTTCTGGTGGGAATTTGTTGAGACGCCCCTTCATCTCAGGGACTCAATTAGTACGCACAGCAGTAGTTACTCGCTCGCCTGGAGAAGCGTCGTGCTCGCGGCCGCTGATTTTTTCTTTGTCCGTCGGAGGTTCATAAGTAGGCCCCTTTCGGGCGACTTCAAGGCCAGAAATTTGACGCCAGGCGCCTTGGCGTAGGTCTTTGGAAGGTGTGCGCCTTGTGCCGGTTTCTCCTCGTCGCTCGTGCGCTCGACGCTCTGACGCATTTTTCCGAGCGCGTGACTTTGGCGGCCGGGCGTCAGTCTGTGATCTCACTCTCGCCCCAGCCTCTGGCCAGATCGCCCGCCGCTTCGCCCCCCCCGGCCGGGCGCGGTCTTTTTGAAAACGGCCAAGGTCGGCCGCTCTTCAGCCTCGTACGTGGGTGCACGCCGTGGCATGGCGCCGCCCAGCCGGCCAGGGCGGTCGGCATTTTTGAACAGTGCCCGCAAGTGTGCGCACTCTGGCCCGAGACCATCAGTGGCCGCGCCCTTGTTGGTAGTGTCTGTGGCGGATCATACCGCCGCGCGGGCAAGGCTGCGGCAAGATGCTTACTTTCGCGCAGCGCCCGGCGCGGCTTTGCCAAGGGGGGCCGGAGCGTGGCGTCGCGCGCATGGGGTTCGGTGGCGCCCTCTTTCTGCCACTCGGGAGGGCCTTGGGTGCCGCCGCGTGGCCGCGGGAGGTTGCAAGAGGTCGACCGGGAGGGTGCCTGCTCTTCTGCGCGGGCGCAATAGCGTCGCGCGCATGCATTGGGCACTGATCGGTGTAGGGGTCCTGGTCCACAGGG